TGTAAGAGACCTGTAGAAGTGCAGGTCAAACTGGCAGCCTTGCTTCCATCAGTCTACCCCAGGGCAGCTGTGGCTACAATAATAACTTGCCACCACTGTAAGGAGTGAATTGATAATGCAATGAAAATGGCTCTTTGTGTTTCACACAGCAGGTACACTTAGTGCTGTAAACCTTTAAATTTCTCAAAACTTAAATGTACTTATGCATTTTATTAGATGACAGCGCATTAAAAAGTAAAACATTTATCTTAGTTTACAATTCCCTTTACCTTTCTTTTCCATTAACTAGATATTTAACAATGTCCTTCACTTTTGTTTGTCTTGATCAAAGAGTTGCTCCATGTGGTTCATTACTATTAAGTAAAAGTGCAGCGATACCAAGACGTCCCCATGGTGACAGTGCAGTCTCGTTTGGTGCTGCTGACGGTGCATTTGGGTCACACAGGATGGAGTTGGACAAATGCTCTCTCTGCCCAGGCCCTGTGCTTACTCTGCAGGGCCACACTGTTACACACAAACAGGGGCTGTGTGGTGTTCACAGGAAACCTACATCTTTTTAGTCCCAGTGTGTCACAGGAGGATATGTGTGTGTATGTGTGAGTAAACATATAAATCATCATATCTAATTCTGAGCTTGATTCCAAAATCCAATATCCAAAATCCCTTCTGTAATTTATTCTCTATATCTAATATGTCAACAAAATGAAATTTAAACTGCGCTTTGTGATGTATGTGTCCCATATGCCATTTTCACAAATAAAAAAGATGAAAAATGAAAAAGCTGTAATACATTTGTTTCTTACATTGATAAATTGACATCTCTAAATTAAAGATATTTTTCCTATTCACCTGCAGTTGCACTGATTTTTAGAACAATTTTAGAGAAGCACAATTACCTGCACATTTTATTTGCAGAATACTGAAAGTGAAGAAAACTGATTTTTGGTTTATCTTGTGTTACTTCCCAGTAGTTTTCTTTTTATAATGAAATTCAAAGACATGGCCCATTTGAGCATGAACACATTGAACAAGTGGACAATAAAATACAAAGTACAAAATTTAAAAGTAAATACTAAAGTAGGTGGTAAACCTGTTTAAAGAAGCACCACTTCAGAACTTTGCCTGTAACACACGCATACTTAAAAACCAAAAACCTACCCACAATTCCACAAATTTACACAACATAATTTCACATTTTTACATACTGTTAAGATAGAAGACTACACAGAAATCACAAATACAGCCACAACATCCAGAAAACCAGAGATGCAACTGGATAAATATAGCGCAGCTTGCATGTGGACTGGAATCCCTATGTGGTCCCCTGACTAATGACTTAATTGACATTTTATTGATTTGGGGTCGATATAATAGAGTGAGTATATCCTATAAACAGTGGAATTGCTGTTCCCACACTTAAATAGATAGTGCTTTATGTGTGCACAGAGTTCTGGGAGCTGGCTGGAGTCATGCATAGAGGCTGAGCTCCTGCGGGGAGGTGCTTAAACGTTTCTCTGACCTCCTGACCTCACCACGGCATTTTCTGACCACATAATAATGAGTCATTTATCACACAGTAGCAAAGCATACACAGGAGGTATCATTACAGCTGTATAATATTATGTTATAAGCAATCAACTGAATACTGTGGTCAAAAACATGATTATACTGAATAACTCTTATTGTGGTATCAAAGTATCACAGCTTTTTCTTAAATATTTTATATTGCGTAAAAAGGGTTCTTGTGAGCTTTAAGCACAGACTGTATAAAGAAGTGGACTAAGGGAGTGTGACGTCACCCACAGCATTCGGCTCTAGTCACCTATGAACAGGTCCAGTCAATTGAAGCTCACAAGTGTAGCAGTTATAGGGGCAAATTTGGAGCCAAGTTCCATATTAGGAATATTATTAACGGACAAAATAGTGGGTTAATATGAACATTTCAAGACCAAAATGATGAGGCTCACTGCAACAGTTACAGAGAGAAGGGTGACAATTTTTCAGTGTAAAGTCAGTTGGAGTTGATGGAGCAGAACATACATGCTCACTTCATTTTTGCTGGTTAGCTATGACCATTTATATATACACTCTATTGCTTTAATCTATTTTAGGATGTTGTTATCTTGTCAAAAACATGCCTGTCCTGGAGTTGTGTTTTGTTTGTCATTTTGTTGAGTAACTCTTTACTATCAGTCAATCTACATCTCCTCAAATGTTCAAAATGCTCCACCTTGTGATGTCACGAAGCAGTGATTTTCAAGTTAACACCTACCTTTTTACTTTTACTTCAGTAGAGATGGGCAATTCTAAGACTAAAAGCATCCAAATGATTCAAGTGAAGGTATATGGAGTTTAAAAACATAGTGAAGTACATACGCATGATTTGTGTGTGAATGAAACAAAACACAATCCCAAATATGTTTTTGATGAGGACATTGACATTATGACATAGATTAGAAAATAGTGTAATATGGGCCCTTTAAAATCAAGGTTCAAATTTGAGTATTATGACAACACAAATACATACACACAGATATTGGGCTAAAACCAAACCTACTTATAGACTATACACTATGTTGCTCAAAGTATTTAATACGTGTGATTGTTTATTTTACTTGATAATCAGAGCCAAACAGCGTAAACTTCTGATTGTAGGTCACAAAACTGCAAAATATCCAGATTTCAAAAATACATGCATTGTTATTTCATTGAACCAGTGTTACAATATACAGCACTGGCCCGTTAATGGTCTTGTGGCTCATTTAAGTGAGTAACATCACCAAAAAGAGACAACTCCATTGCTGCTGCAAAGTTTTATAGCTACAAAAACACTTCTCAAGCACTAAAGCCAGAACGATATAACATATATATCTGAAAATGGCCACAAGTGATTCATATTGTGAGACGACTCCAAGGAACTGTATATGAGCCCAACAAGCAGAAACAAAGCAGAAAGTGGCTGACCATATATTTGTGCACCGCAGTGAACTCAGAGACTGTGGTCAGCAAACTGCCAGGCGCCCGGCGTGACTGTATATAAGGCTATGAAAAGATGGGACCCCTGCAGATTTTATAAGACAGGACGTGCCAAATATGTCATGAGGAAAGCAGGACGGTCAGTACAATAAACATTCAACTACTACGCTAGGTCATAGTAAAGTCCTGTTGTTATTCATTATGCAGACAGCTGATGATTAGAAGTACTCAGGTAATGATAAGGACTTAAAAGAGGCTCATGGATTAGATATGTATCAGTGTGGGAGGGATGAGAATATTGACCACGGAAAAAGGAGAGGGACTTAATATGTATAATTACTGATTGTCTGTTTTTGATGAACAGTCATTTATAACATGGCTATAAATCATTAGAATCATTTGTGCCTAATAAATAAGTGCTCTTGTCACTAGTACAATCATGGATTGGAATTTGGAATTGCAATGGGAAAAGAATAAAATGTGTTTATTTATTTAAGATAGAGCCTTGAGAGCATTTCTTTTTCAAGAGGGTCAGAATATACAGCTGTAAAATATATTACTGTTACTTTTGTAACATTCATCTTGTCTTCAAGTTTGAGATTTATCTTCTTTATTTTCTTTAATCACACAAGTTGTAAGTGAGATGTTTTTACCTTGACACATTTCAGCTGCTAACTGTGAGCCATCCTCAGAACTGTCCCCGATGTTGGTGGTGACGTCATATATCAATTGTTAGTCAGCCTGACAGACCTGGTGGCTTGCTCAGGCTGACCACACCTCCTGTTGGGTGATGGTCCTTGGAGAAGGGTGTCCCCAGTGTGTGAAAGGAGGCATGGTCAGTCTGAGCAACCCGCCAAGTCCGTCAGGCTGACCACACCTACAGGATGTGACAACAGTTCATATACAACATATCAACACCAACATTGCAGTTCTCAGGATGGCTTGTAGTTAACTTCCAAAACATTTCAAGGTAAATATATCTCACTGACAAGTTGTCTGATTAAAAGAAAATAAGAAGCTAAATATCACAACTGAATCAAAATCACAATTTGAGTTGCCGCAGTTGTCAAATTTCAAAAGCAATTATTTAGCTAATAGAACAAAATATCTGTTATTTTGCTGTACCTGTAGTACTTCCAAACTTATTAGTTTAACAGCTCATATTTCAGTCTTCTCTTACATGTTAATTCTCCTGGAGTTGTTTACAGTGTGCACTCTGAACAGAATCCTACTTTTTAACATCCATCACAAATCTAACTGCAATACTTTTTAGAAAAATTCCTTTTTTCCAAAAATTATTCAGCCTTAGAATTAAATGTCTTTTTTGTAATCTGATCTAAAAGTCAGAAACAACACCCAGGTACTGTATTCATTTATTTAAGTACCGGTATCTTGTCAACACAAATACAACTTACCGTAATTCAAGATCAAGGTTGTGTTACTAATTTTAGGTATAAAATGAGACTGGCTATAACAGATGTATTGTGAGCAGACTTCCTCAATCTTTTTGACCTAATGGCTCTTGCTGAAACCGCTAACCCACACTGAAGTCATTATTGTCAGACGCCTGTTGCTTAATTGAGTGGATGCAGAGACGGCGAAGCAGTTTGCCTTTTGTTATCGTGTCTCTTTCCACATTGTGTTGTCACTGAAGCCCCTGTTTTCAACTTCAATAATAAACCATGTTCGTGTGTGCTGAGTTTTCGCGTGATTTATGACTGTTGTCCGTCACGGCCCGAAAAGTGGCTTATAGCGTGAAAAAGCCTGCTCTTTGTTGACTGCATCAAAATAAACAGGCTGCGGCCATGACTTTGTATTAGGCAGCTTGAAGCTCGGGGGGATTTTCCGAGATGGTGGAATATGTGCAAAAGGTGACTGGGGTGAGGCCAACCTTCCCCAGGCTGACAGCTATAATTAATGGCCCAGTGTCACCCATATACACCCCAGCCTCTCCAGATGCAGGCGCCTGTGGAAATTGAAAAGCACAGTACATATTTGGGTTGGGTGCTGCTGTGTCCACTCACCTTTGGATACTGTTGCACAGGGATGAGAACTCTTTCGGAGAGCTTGATGTTTTTATTGCTGATGATGTCAAGGTATTTCTTCATGTCGCCATCTTTTCTGAAATCTTCACCGTCACACTTTTCGATTTCTGCAAGAGAAGAAAACACATGTCAGTAGCTTGCCTAGAAGTAAGATCAGCTGACATTATCACAACGATTAAACATTTTAGAAGAACTGGAAAATATCAATAGTTTGACAAAATGTATCAAGCCTGACCATTGGCCGATATATTTTTTTGTCATTATTTGTGAAAAGTGAAACAAGATATACATCCATTTTCTTTCACTTATTGAGGGCTGGGTTGTGGGGGCAGCAGTCTAAGCAGCGAGTTCCAGACTTCCCTCACCCCAGACACTTCCTCCAGCTCCAGGGGGACAGCAAGTCATTCCTAGGTCAGCCAAGAGACATAGTCCCTTCAGTGTTTTCTGGGCCTTCCTGACGTGCCCAGAACACCTCCCCAGGAAAATGTCTAAGAGGTATCCAGAATAGATACCCAGGCCATCTAAGCTGGCTGCTCTCGACATGGAAGAGCAGCAGCCCTACTCCGAGCTCCTTCCTTGTGACCCTCACTCTGGCTCTAAGGAAGAGCCCAGCCACTCTGCAGAAGAAACTCATTTCGACCACTTGTATCCACGATTTCATCCTTTTGGACATTACCCAAAACTTATGACCGTAGGTGAGAGTATAAATGTAGACTGATCGGATAATCATGAGCTTTTCCTTTCGACTCAACTCCTTTGTGACCACAACAGTCTGATACTGCGATCACATCACTGCGTTTTACTTTATTTTTTTATTATTTCTTAATGATTCCCTGTACAGCTCTATTATTACTTTGAAACCCATTTGATGAAATATGGCTTTTAACGAGACAGACTTTTTATCAACAACTTTTAACCAAAAAAAAAAAACACAAAAAAATAGTCCAATTTAGATTTTAGACCTCTTGTCAGACCCCTGTAGATCCAGGCTTGACAATTTGAAACTACTGAATTTTGATTTGGTTAAAACTTGCACAACCAATTTTGCCAAATGTCAACAAGGACCAGGCTGGAGGTTGAGTAGTGAAATTTCCCCACTAGAGAAAAATTAACAGTTTTGTGACAGCTATATGTGTTTCCTCTCACATTTCAGTTGCAATATCATTTTATTCAGTGACTGGCATATTTTACAGTGTAACCTCATGATCAAGTAACACTAATCAAAACAACCAGCCCCAGACTCTCCGCTGCAGCCCACTTCCCTGTGAACAGTCCTCTAATGAGCTGTTACCAGTCAGTGCTCCTGGACAAATGAACGCAATGTCCACACTCACTACACAGAGATGTCAGATTAACATATAAAGGGCCACTGTCAAGGGACACGTTGGTTAAGACTGGCTGACTCAACCCTCATATCAGATTTGCGGTTCATTGGTTCCAGTCAAAATACAGGGATACTCATTTGTAAAACCTTGAATCCATTTGTGCATGCATGCCCCCAAAAGCACATTAAGAAAATAAATGTCCATTTGGAATTGGACATAAAGAGGCAACCTTAGATTTTACAACAGCAACAGAACTGTACAGAAATCTAACTTCTATAAATTAGATCATTCACCTAAGGGCACCTTGCCTTATTATCACTAATTAGCACCTGAAAATCCAAAAGAAGAGTCCTGTTTTGTCTTAATTAAGATTTAATGATTTATTTATAATGAGCTATTTAGTATTTCAGCACAGACTAAAATAAGGTTTGGTATGTCACTTGTATGCTGTGAAAACACCTCAGTTGTAGGTAGGAGTTGATGAAATTCAGTGAAAGTGTCACCTTGCGTTGCTATATCTGTTGCATCATATTGCTATTGCCACTTTTTATAGTTATAGGCACTGCAAATAGTGTTTCCCAAAATTGAAAAAAAAGTATTATTTGTATCAAGGCTTTCCTCCCATCTTTATATATATACTGAGTCTATAGTGAGTCTGTGATTGTCAGTCATGCTGCAGTATTTACGTAATACCTAACTCAGCATTGTCCATTAAATATTACAAGCAAGTCAGAAGGATACTACTTTTTAAATAATTTGACTTTTTCCGAGATTTTAGTTTTTAGTGAATGCAAATAAAAGACATGCTTTAAAACTTTGCACATATCTCTTCATTGTACCTACACAGTTAATTTGCTCTGTGTGTGATAAATTAAAATGTCCCTTCTTCCAACTGCTTAAATGAGTCACTTGCACTTGACACAATATCTCTGATTAAATCTGATAGTGTGGGGAGAACAAGAGGAGACTGGATCTGTGGAATTTGTTTCAGTGAAGCAGTGAAGTCTGAGCTGCAAAATGAGCTGTCAGCCAAAGAGAAGGCGCATTCAACAAGGGAAGGGTCTTATTGGTAAAAGTACAGCTTCTACTTTTGTATATGGTGTATATTTTTTCAGTCATAGATCATATTGGTCTGCCTCTACCTAACCTCTCTCGCTTATGCATTATCTCACTGACAAAGCACAGAAGTTTTTTTTTTCCCCCCGAACCTCAAATAATTAAATTAAAATAATAATACTGGAAACTGCCAAAGAATGAATTCCACAAAACATTAACACAGGCCAATCTTTGTATCTTGTGAAGGTAAAATTACGATGTCAAACCTTGACTTGTACTATCTATTGAGCTGCAATGGCCTTAACTAACAAAGCAGCACAAATACACAATAATCATGAATTATTCTTTTATCTACTAGAACTTTTAAACCTGCAAAATGCTTGATGAATGAAAATTAAACCTTGAACATTTCCACTAATTCTGACCACAGTGATGAGATAACTTTCCATGAACCACCCAAGAATCCATGACAGACGGTGAGAAATACATGACTACATTTATAAAATACTCCCTACATACAACAACTCACCCTTATGTAACAGATAATACTCCCTACAACTGTACAACAACTCACCCTTATGTAACAGATAATACTCCCTACAACTGTACAAAAACTCACCCTTACGTAACAGATAATACTCCCTACAACTGTACAACGCACCCTTATGTAACAGATAATACTCCCTACAACTGTACAAAAACTCACCCTTACGTAACAGATAATACTCCCTACAACTGTACAACAACTCACCCTTATGTAACAGATAATACTCCCTACAACTGTACAACAACTCACCCTTACGTAACAGATAATACTCGCTACAACTGTACAAAAACTCACCCTTACGTAACAGATAATACTCCCTACAACTGTACAACGCACCCTTATGTAACAGATAATACTCCCTACAACTGTACAAAAACTCACCCTTACGTAACAGATAATACTCCCTACAACTGTACGACAACTCGCCCTTGTGTAACAGATAATACTCCCTACAACTGTACAACAACTCACCCTTACGTAACAGATAATACTCCCTACAACTGTACGACAACTCGCCCTTGTGTAACAGATAATACTCCCTACAACTGTACGACAACTCGCCCTTGTGTAACAGATAATACTCCCTACAACTGTACAACAACTCACCCTTACGTAACAGATAATACTCCCTACAGCTGTACAGCAACTCACCCTTATGTAACAGATAATACTCCCTACAACTGTACAACAACTCACCCTTACGTAACAGATAATACTCCCTACAACTGTACAACAACTCACCCTTACGTAACAGATAATACTCCCTACAACTGTACGACAACTTGCCCTTGTGTAACAGATAATACTCCCTACAACTGTACAACAACTCACCCTTACGTAACAGATAATACTCCCTACAACTGTACAACAACTCACCCTTACGTAACAGATAATACTCCCTACAACTGTACAGCAACACACCCTTACGTAACAGATAATACTCCCTACAACTGTACGACAACTTGCCCTTGTGTAACAGATAATACCCCCTACAACTGTACAACAACTCACCCTTACGTAACAGATAATACTCCCTACAACTGTACGACAACTCACCCTTACGTAACAGATAATACTCCCTACAACTGTACAACAACTCACCCTTACGTAACAGATAATACTCCCTACAACTGTACGACAACTCACCCTTACGTAACAGATAATACTCCCTACAACTGTACAACGCACCCTTATGTAACAGATAATACTCCCTACAACTGTACAAAAACTCACCCTTACGTAACAGATAATACTCCCTACAACTATACAACAACTCACCCTTATGTAACAGATAATACTCCCTACAACTGTACAACAACTCACCCTTATGTAACAGATAATACTCGCTACAACTGTACAAAAACTCACCCTTACGTAACAGATAATACTCCCTACAACTGTACAACGCACCCTTATGTAACAGATAATACTCCCTACAACTGTACAAAAACTCACCCTTACGTAACAGATAATACTCCCTACAACTGTACGACAACTCGCCCTTGTGTAACAGATAATACTCCCTACAACTGTACAACAACTCACCCTTATGTAACAGATAATACTCCCTACAACTGTACGACAACTCGCCCTTGTGTAACAGATAATACTCCCTACAACTGTACGACAACTCGCCCTTGTGTAACAGATAATACTCCCTACAACTGTACAACAACTCACCCTTACGTAACAGATAATACTCCCTACAACTGTACAACAACGGACCCTTATGTAACAGATAATACTCCCTACAACTGTACAAAAACTCACCCTTACGTAACAGATAATACTCCCTACAACTGTACAACAACTCACCCTTACGTAACAGATAATACTCCCTACAACTGTACGACAACTCGCCCTTGTGTAACAGATAATACTCCCTACAACTGTACAACAACTCACCCTTATGTAACAGATAATACTCCCTACAACTGTACGACAACTCGCCCTTGTGTAACAGATAATACTCCCTACAACTGTACAACAACGCACCCTTATGTAACAGATAACCCTATGTCCTGTCAATCATTGTTTCACATGTTTTCTCCTTACAACCTCTTGTTTATAGCTGAGAAATATTTGTATTATACTGTATTTCCATACTTTTCATTACTTTTTATTTTATTTACTTGTACATAAACATTTATATAATCATGTCTTATTTGACACCAATCTA